CACAATCATCATAATAATAAGGAAATGTAATGTATTATTATGCCCCCAACAGGGTTTAAAGACAGGGTGATTCTCTCTCTCTCTCTCTCTGTTCTTTCTTTTGTGTCCCACACCCCAAGACAGAGTTTCTATTTATAGCCCCGGCTGTCCTGGAACTCTCTTTGTAGACCAGGCTGGTTTCAAACTCACAGAGATCCACCTGTCTCTGCCTTCCCAGTGCTGGGATTAAAGGTGTGAGCCAGTACCACCTGGCAAGAATTTATTTATTTATTATTAGTTTGGAATTTACTTTTTAAACCAGCTGTCCTGTGCTTGTAACAATCCTCCTCTAAGCTGGGTATGGTGCCACCTGCATTTCTTTAGTCCCTTCATTCAGGGAGGCAGAAGCCAGTGGATTGTTGTGAGTTCATGGCCAGTCTACGCTACAAAGTGAGTTCAGGACAGCCAAAGACTACACAGAGAAACCCTGTCTTGAAAAACCAAACCAAACAAAAACCAATCCCCCTGCATCAGCTTAACTACCAGTCAATAGATGGTCTTGTTCAAGTAAGAGGAAGAGAAAGGAATGAAGATTTGACTTTAACATTTTTTAGATGAAGTCTAAATATTTTATCATCACCCTCCAGGACGTTTTAAATAGATTTAATCACACTGAGAGCATTGTGCTAAAATAGATTGACGATTACAGTGATCTTGTGCTGAACGTGGGTATTCTGAGACGGTACAGGGAACTGAAAGCAGTGATCAGAATCGGGGGCGAAGGAACCCAGCGGTGAGAGGCCAGGTGAGTTCGCAGGAGAGAGGGATGGGTCCACTGCTCCCAAGTGTGGACACGTGTTCACAGCTGCTCTCTGACGACCTGGGAGAGCCCACCGCCACAGACAGGAGACATGGGAGGGAATCCATTGGCTACAGAATGCATTATTGAAGTGTACTAGAAGTGATGGTGGCAATAGGCGTCAGCCGCTAGGAGCCAGGTGGGTCCAGGGTGGACAGCGGATGTTTGGGGTCCTAGGCTTCCTCAGGTCCCAGGTTAGAGTTTCTATCACAGAATTTATATGCTAATGTGATTCTGGCAAGTTTTGTTAACTTCTCTGAGTCTCACTTTCCTTTCACTACAAAAAAACGGGAGGTCCCTATTCACTGAGGTAAGGAATGCAAATAACTCAACCAAGGCCTTCCAAAGACACCAGGTCTCCCCTCCTTCCCTTTCTCTACCCTGACCCCTGCTGTGACTGCTCTCCACTTCTCCCAAAGGTGAAAGAATAGGGCGTAGCTTAGTGGTAGAGTTGTACAAGTCGTGGCAGACAGATCTAGGGGCTCAGCTTTCTCTTCAGCGGAAGTGAGGACGTAATACGGTGGCCATTATGTAATTATCTAGAGCTTCACTGATGGCTGCATAGAAAGACATGCTGCGCCTCCCCACCCCAGTGCGCAGCACCTGAATAATGCGTTCCTTACCCAACCTATTCCATTCCATATCTCCTCTCCGTCCACACATGCTCAGTGTGGGTGGAGGCTGTCTTTGGGATGAGCAGTGTATGACCCCTGCTCAAGTTGGCGTTTTTTTTTTTTTTTTTTTTTCCTGTGGAGAAGTATTTCTGGACTCTGAGCATATCCACACATATTTTTAGGCTAACTTCTTAGCTATCACAGAATCTTTAAAATAGATTTGCAAATCAATACTTCTTGAGTAGTGAAAGGATCTTTAGGATCCTAGCAGGGGCTGGGACATGGCTGCTTCAGGAGTAAAGGGTTTATGCTCTACCTCCAGCTGTTAAGGAAAAAGAAAAGATGAACTTAATGTTTGCTGGTTTAAACTGCTGGGCTGCAAACAGTGAGTGAGGCTACAACTCACATCTAAATGTCAGCTATGGGGGGGAGGGGAACCAAAGGATTTAGATCCTTAAAGAGCCAAAACCCATTAAGAATTTACTGATACATATTCAGTTGAAAACACCTTTTCACCTACCTGAAAGTACTGATTACAAATAGTGACTCAGTGAATTTGAAATCAGACAAAGTTTAGAAGGAATTATTGCCAGCTGCATTTCCCACAAAAACTGCATCGGATTTTCACAATTAACTAGTAGATCCAGATCTATGTCCTCTCCCTTCCTAACTTATTGATGAATAAAATTAAAAATGTAGAAGTTAAACATTAAGGAAAGGCAGGGGTGAGATCTGCACTAGCCGTGTCTTTCCCCACGCCTCTGCCACACACACATCTTTAGTGGCTATAAGGTATGATGCTGAATTCATCTCAGGTCCTAGCTCTCACCGCTTGAGTCCAGCGGATCTGTCCTTCCCCAGCACTAGGGCTGTAGCTGTATTTGGAGGCTGAGGGTCTGAATTGCTCACAAGGTCCTTATTCTTGCAAGGCAAGGCACTTTATCATCGGAATCTCCCTAGCCTCATTTACCTTTTCTTTCTTTCTCCTCTTCTTTATTTTATTTTTTTTTCAAGATATGTGTAGCCTTGGCTGTTCAGGAATCACTATGTAGAACAGGCTGGTCTTGAACTCAAAGAGATCCACTTGCCTCTGCCTTCAGCATGCTGGGATTACAGGTGTGCACCATCAAGCATGGTTTACCTTTTCTTTTGAAGAAACCCTATAAACCAGTGTTTACAATACGGTTTTCCCCTCTAGTCTTTTATTTTGTAAGTGAAAATGCTTATACAGGAAACGTGCTGTAGAGGAAACCCAAGGAAATCTTGGCTCTGGGTAAAAACATAAAGAATGAAGAATGTCTTTGGTGTTAGGAACAGTATTTATCTTTAACATCCACAGGGGATCTAACACCCTCACACAGACATACATGAGGTCAAAATACCAATGTACATAACATAAAAATAAATAATTATTAAATGCAATATTCAGTAGGTGCTGACAGGCTTAAGGACCAGTACTTACCAAGCATGTCTGAGTTAATCTCTGTCTGTTTTTAGTTATTTGCTTTAAACTATACCTTGCAAGCACATGACAGGGGAGTAGTAAGGCTTATTCCTGTAATTAATTGCATCAGTTCTTCGCATGACTTCAAATATATTTCTTAACACATTAAAGATATGATAATTTCTAAGGTGCTGGCTACCAAGTTGCATTTCTTAATTATCCTTAACAATTTGCAGTAATTTAGTTGCTTTTGTAATATTAAAATAAAGGGCCCTTTTAAAGAGTGACAGCAAAGATCATCAGCATAATTTTCAGAAGGCAAAACCAAGTTCTAGCAGTAGTGTAATGTCTTTAAAACTAATTTCAAAATTTGGCTGTCAACAAGGTACTTTTTTTGTACATCAAGGTGTCTAACTCTGATAAAACAGTCCACTATAGGCCCGCTGTCAGGGCCACACGCTCAAGGCTTTAAATTGTTTCCCTAGCTTCTACTATGACACAGAGGCATGAATCTTCTGTTCCTTCTACAATGTAGATTTCAGTACAGATTACTAAGATGTCTAAATTTATCTCTTTTGTAAACTGAAAACGAGTCTTGTACGCTTCAGGGAACCCGGGCACCCACTTGACTCCATCTCTCACAGGCCAAATGGACTCCAGAAAAGTACTGTCAATCAATATCTTCTTTCCCTCCCCACCTGTCTATTCCTGAGAGTGCGGTCTGTTCCCCTTTCCCTGGTCCTGGGACAAACCCCCTCTCCCCTACCGACTACCAAGCTCATGGGCCTAAAAGTTTCAATTGTACATCCAAGAAAAAAAATTTCTCCCTAAACTCCCTTAACTTGCCTCTGTTCCAGTGTCCTGCCAGGTCCAGGTGTTTCTTCAAAATCTGCATCCAGTAGAGCTGCAGAAGCACCTAGCCACGGGTGGTCCCACAACCTGGACAGCAAGTAAAACAGCCTGCTCTTCTCCAGCCCCGCCAACATTCCAGCTCTTTGGCCCCCTCCCCCAAATAGTGACGCCTCAACGTCAGCAGGACGTAGTCACAGACGATTATGTATGTCGCTCCTTATTCATTTATCAACAAAAGTCTGGACGTTGGGACTTGGGACAAGCTGCTGAGGTGCCTATTTAACATATCAACTCCGATCTGGCCCCCAGGTTTTCCCAGCATCCCTCAGTCTGGAATGCTGGGCTTCCCCTTCCCCGAGAGGCTCCTAAGTTTATAATCCAGAAATTTTGGTGCCCGCCTGGCCCCCTCCCCAGTCTGTCTCCCCGTCTGTGTGGTGACTTCCCTGGCCTCCTTCCTTGGGACTGGTGAATCTGCTTTTATACTTAAGTTGGCTCATTTCATCTGAGGAGAAATGAACCACACATCTGTGGTTTAGATTTCCACCGCGGGCAAACCCTAAGGCAATGCCGACAATTCACGCGAGGAAGCGACTTGCACCCACTTGTCTGTAACAAAGATAACAGTCCTGGCTGGGCACCCCGAGCTAGGCTGCCCAAGAAAAGGCCTATTCAGCCTCGCGTCTGAACCCACAGCGGTTCCGACGCAGGAATCCACTCAGCTGTACTTAATTAGGCGTGTTGGAAATTCCTTTAACAACAGCACTGCGAAGTAGGAGGCTTTAACGAACTGCTTTGAACTCTCAACCCGAGAGGAAGGAAAGAGACAACCAACCAGTGTCAACAGCATGGGGGGGGAGGGGGGAGGGCGCCGAGGTTGGGGACTCCGGCCTGGGCCTGCTGGGGTCGGGTCCAGGCAGGACGCGGCACCCGAGCAGAGGGCGCGGTCCCGGGGTTACACGCGGATCGGGCTCGGCGTGACGGCACCGGACGCTTCGGCGTGGCGTCTGGGCGGACTCGGTCTCCTCCGCAGACCGCGGGCCCCGGCGGGGCGGTCCGCGCGAGGGCGCGGGCCGAGGCTCGGCGGGGGAGCCTGGGCAGCCGAGATAAACCGGGTGGGGACGCCGGACGCGCCACGGCGTTCCGACCAATCGCCGGCGCCGGCGATGATTCAAAAGGTCGGGGGACCAATGGGAAGCTCGGGGGAGCCGCGCTGGGGGCGGGACCTCGGGGGCGCGCGAGCGCGGCCGGCGGCGTCGCGCGCGGAACGGCCGGGGGGCTGTTGGCTTGGCTGACCGTGCCGGGGAGGGTGGCTGGAGGAGTTCCCGCTGGAGCGAGGCCAGGTGAGCGG